CATCACATTTCAGTCCGCAGCAACTCATTGATAATGTCAATATCAACTACAAGAGTGACATGGTTGCTGAACTTGGACAATATGTTCATGCAATTGGGACGGATTCCAACAATTCGATGGAACCCCGCAGTATCAAATCAATTTACATTGAACCTACGAAGGGACAACGTACTGGGCACCGAGTGCTCAACCTCAATACTAAGACGATGATTTCCCGACCCAAGGTCGTTGTACTACCTGTTACCGATCAAGTAATCCAGCGTGTTGAAGCTTGGGCTGCTGCCGAAGGTGTTACTTAGACGACGATTCGGGTGATGAAGGCGATGAAGAGGAAGAACCTATTGTGGCCGATTTGGATCACCATCAAGAAAATGTCGATAGAGGAACCGATGATATTGGGAGCCTCGTTACTGATCTGGAGGACCTACAAGAGCCGCCAGAAGAAGAGATTGTATTTGAGCCTGAAGAGCCTCAAGTAGCAAAAGTCACTCAATCTGGGCAAACGTATGCGCAAGCTGCAATGTCTGGGTTGAACCTTTCCCAAGTTCCAAAGAGACCAAGAGAATGGCCTTCGAGCAGGAGTGGCAGTTCTGCCAATAAGAACAAGAATCGAGTTGAAAAAGACGCAAGCATTGAGAAAGAGAATTGAAACCGTTGAAGAACAAGTTAAAATCTGGTATTCGTACCAAAGGAGGAAGTCGCAGTACTAAAGACAGTAAAGCTATCCTTGAAGGAAAGCACAATCTATTTTTCCAACAGATTGGGAATGAGATGAAAGCTGATTATGAAGAGCACAACGCTATTCTGATCGCTCGTTGCATGATGCAGATCAAGGCCAAGTTTGAGACTGAACTTCATCCAACAGTATTACATCAATCAAGGACTCAAGAAGTTTGGTGATGACGGAAAGGATGCTGTGGATAAGGAATTGAGACAAATGCTCCTGAGAGATTGTTTCACTCCCGAATTTGTTAAAGACATGACCGCGTCTGAGCAAAAGAAGGCCCAATCAGCGATGATGTTACTTGCGAGAAGCAATTCGAAAAGAAAATTAAAGGTCGCCTAGTATACCAAGGCAATGGAACTCGTGAATGGTTATCGCAAGAGGACACTGCAAGTCCAACTGCTTTGCAGGAAGCAATCATTACTACTTGTGTTATTGATGCACACGAAGGTAGAGATATAATGACGCTGGACGTGCCTAACGATTTCATTCAAACTTATATGCCTGATGCTAAGGAAGGAGAAGATCGCGTCTACATGAAAATCACTGGCATGATGGTCCAGATATTGATTGACATGGCCCCAGAGTATCGCGAATACTTTGTATTAGAGAACGGAAAGCGAGTAATATATGTGCGGGTACTACGTGCCATATATGGGATGATACAATCAAGCCTTCTATTCTTTAATCAGTTTCGAAGTGATTTGGAGGCAAAGGGATTTGTTTTCAACCCGTATGACCCGTGTGTTGCTAACAAAGTTGTTGATGAAAAACAGCAAACTATCAGATTTCATGTTGACGTCAAGTCACATGGATCCGAAAGTAAATGACGAATTTGCTGAGTGGTTGAACATGAGATATGGCT